GGGATAACTTCTTTTTTTTTTTTTTTTGGGGATCTTGTTTGTTGCTGGAACTTGGTGCTTGGAATATGTGAGAATGGGGGTTTTCTTTCTGGGCCGTTGTGAGAAACCCCGTCCTGATTCCCATACGTGCCATTGGGCCCAATCACACCACCTTTTCTCCGCCTCGTCCTCCTCTACCTGAAAGGCTGAAAGTACTAATAGCACCTCTCTTTCTTAATATAATATTTAATTAATTAATCTAAGTAAATTAAAAAATTATTAAATTAGTTATTTGTAATAGATATGTGTTGTCTTTTCTAAATTATTCTTGCTAATTAAGTATATTAGTTAAAACTACTATTATTACGATGACAACCTTAAAAAAATGAATAAATATAAAAGACAAAATGAATTGAAACCTTATATTTATAATCAAAATAAAAATTAAATAAGTTCTTATATTAAGAAATAGAGGTAATATTTGACAAGTCAATAATCGTCCATACCTTTCATTTTTTTGCTAATCCCTCCTCTCCATACTTGTAATCATAGGCTGGAACGCATTATTGATATCATAACTCCAATATGATGTTGTCTGGTTGATTCCTTTCGTTATTGGTTTTTGAAGAATAATTTCCCTTTGCTTTCTCAATTCAAAGCGAAAATCCATTTTTATTTTATTTTATAAAAGATGACTTATTTAATATTATTGTTATTACTTCTCATTAGCTTATTGAAGCATAGGATGAAATTTTTTTATTTATAAAGTTATTTTTATTTTATACCCTTTCTAAGGACACAATGATTTAACATGACCTTTCTCGTGCAAACCACTGCTTTTGTGGTTCAGACTTCAGAATATGCCCTGAAATTCTGCGATCCTGTTGTTCATGCACTGTTCTTCTGAACCTGAATGAGATTTCCCTCCTTTTTCTTCTTTTTACGCAGGGGGTGTTTGGGAAACCCAAAACCATGGTTTCAGAAGCACTTTTCCGCAAAACGAGGTAATCTCCTCCACATATTTACTTCGTAATCCGTAAAAGCACTTCTGAAACCATGGTTTGGTTTCTATCTAAAACCCCCTTAATCTATTCATTCCTTTAACCGCTTCAGCATTTTTTTGGCCATGCGCAATAAGCCGGTGCATTGCACATAACAAGTGATTTGCGGCTCTAAAATTGCTCTATGTGGAATTCCAACATACAGGTCATTTGGCCAGCACGTGCTTGAGAATCTCTCCAAATCAAAAGTTATTGTCCTGCGCGTAGACATGGTACAAATTGTTGTTTATTCTTCTGTATTGAACCCAATTTGTGGGTATACATTTTAACTTTTGGTTTTTTATTCGGTTCAAAGTCAAGTTATTTATACCGGTTTAATTTATAATAAGACTCACAAAACATTTTGTGGCCCGTCTCCAAAGATTTAAGGTTTTGACTGCATATCACGCCTTCTCAACACCGACGGATTAATTACTCATGACTTGAAATAATTTTTTATGGAATATAAATATAAAAGGAAAGTGCGCACAGGTCAGATGGCTTTTAATGCAGAGCATCAGCAAGAGAGAAAAGAGAGAGAATGAGAGATAGCCAAAAAAAAAAAACCTCAATGACTGTGATAAATAAGTTGAGACAGACACCTTCTATTAATAGGTCAGGATAATAATATTTCAATTCACAATTATTAATTAATGTTTGGTTTTTCTTCAATCAAACAAGTCCTTAATCCTCGCTTAAGGGATGTTTGAAAGCCTCAAAAAATACCTTTTTAAAAAAATATTTTCACGCAAATCAAGATACAATTTTCCTTATATATTTATTTTATATACCATAAAATTAATTTTAAAATTATGTGTTGGTTTTGATCCAAACACTTTCTAAATATTCCCTCACCAATCAATTATTAGGCCTGACTGGTGATTGATTTTGTTTGATCAAAGAGATTTTTCTCTCTTGGATCAAATAATCCAATCCATCAAGAATGGAAATTTTTATAGGAGTTTCATATGTTCAATATCATTCAATTCGGTTTACTAAGACCCAGAATTTTGGAGTTTGTAATTTGTCAAGTTTCAAACAACGTACTGACGTAGTAAGCTGACAAGAAGTTATTTTGAATAAACACATCCGAACGGTTCAAATTGTCTCAAGTAACTGGTATCTATAATTCCATAAGAACACCTCATTTATTAATTTAATAACACATACTATATTCTGTCCTAATAATATAAATAATATCTTATAATTAGGATCGGAAGTAGTATTTAAAAAGACTAATATAATGTAAGAATAATCATAAAGTCTTAAGAAAATAATTTAATTATTAAAAAAATCCTAATAAACATAAATTAATTATCATTTTCTGCACTAGAATTTATCATTGTATGTAATGAACTTTAAACTATCCTTGCTTGAGATGTTATTATAATTCCTCCTAATATTATTAGGTTTCCTCTTCTGATTTTTCGTCTCTTATAATTATCGGTCGAAACCGAAATATTAAGAAAGGGTAATGCTGTGTTATTTGTATCACAATTTGGTCTTTAAATTATTAATAGTTAGAACTACATAATTTTAGCATCATCAAGTACCATTTCGCCGTTGGGTGACTAGAGATGTCGAAAGTTATTTATTTATTTATTTATTGCGAGAAATGAATAATACATGCATCATTAAGAAAACCAGAACTAAATAAACCAATCCACTGATTCGACCATAAAATTGTTTCCGAGACAATTTCGAAGCTGGGAGGATGCTATCATAATTGTTAGAGCCTAGAGGGTCATAGAAGACAAGAAGAGTATATTAAATATGGCTTTACAGAACAATGAATGATCAACTGGGAATTAAAGGGGAAAAAGAGCCAAGGGGTACGTACAAAAAGGAAAAAGAAGCGAAGACTTTGCAGACACGCAGGTTGCTGCTTGAAAAAGCTTTGATGTGTCCAATGGATTCAACACATACGTGTCAGCATTCATATCCTTGTCTCCACTCTCTCCTATTTCCCCCCTCATTTTTTAAACCTACTCTTACCCACTCATGCCTGTTTCAAGCTTCCACCATTATTACCTTTCCAGTTCCACTATCTTAAATCCTATTGGGATTCTGGCTCACAGTAGACAAAGCCATGGATGAAGAAGGAATGAACTCGGATGAAGCAAACCCATCAAGCAAATCCACAAGAAAGAGTTTAGATGGTAGAAGAGATTCTCAGGGGCATTTTGTCATGCAGCTTGCAGGCACTTCTAAAAGAGACATCACTGAAAATGGTAACAGTAACAGCATTAATTCCAACTATGAATATGGTTGTTCCGGTAATATGCCAATGTTCTCAGATGCGCAATATTGCTACTCCTTATTGGAGGCCATGCCTGTGCCCGGACCGGTGTGGTCTACAACAGAACCTTGTGTTTTGGCTGAAGCACAGGAATCAGCACCAGCAGAAGCACCCACTAGGGAAGGCCCTGCAGAGTTAGAATGGGGAGAGAATCAAGCTTCTTCATATTCATGGTGGATTGGATTCCTTGAAACTTTAGATGGTAATATGAGCAGTGAAAAGGTGAAATATCCATTTGTGGAGAATATTGAGATAGAAGCTTCCAAGGGGCTTGGCTGTGACTCAACTTTTGTGGATGCAACAGAGCAAAGCTGTTGCCTTGATGACTGGTTGATGATTCCAACAATGGATATGGATTTGGAAGACATGGTTGTGCCCTAGGAGGTTGGTGGGGAATTTTTTCTTGGGTGAATTTCGGATAGCTTAATGCGGCGACTTTGACTTATGTAAGATTACTGACTAAAATCTCATTCTGGCTTTTGTTAGCAGCACAGACACACAGTTGATCCTCTATGTAGTTATCCAATGGTTATTAATCTTGTGGGCACATTTCACGTTCATTCATTTCTAAATCCCTTGTGAATTTAGTTTTCGATCATGTTTTTCCTTTTCAACTTCATAGAAACAGAGAGGTCTTGGTGGAGTGAGCTATCTTTTTTAAAACCAGAAAGGAATACTAATTGCTCACTGGTATAGTACATATAGAAGTTATTTTAATGTAAGTGCCTGATAGAATTTTTTTGTATGGGTCAATATGTAAAGTAATTACTTCTCCAGTTTTTAATATAAGACTTAAATATTGAGTTGATTTTGATCTAAATATAAGAGTTATTTCTTATATTTATTAGTTTTTCCTAAATTATCTCTATAGATACTCCATCAACCATAATCAAGTAAAAGAGGGAGGGAAGATATTAAAAAAGATGATTATGGTATTTTAGGAAAACATGTCATATTTTTTTATAATTAACTAACTTACTTAACTTTCTTAATTTAATCAAATTAGTTAAATAGGTCTTATATTAAGGATTGGATGAGCTTTTTTTTTTGCAGGGTAAGCCCCTCTTAAGTCTTAATGTAAATTGTTCCTCTGAGATGGAAATCTTCTCTGACTTCCCATTTCTTTTTTTGAAAAAATTTCAAGAAAGTAATATTTTCATTTTATGTTCATTTAGTTTCACTTGTTGAAAATGGGTTAAATTGCAAATTTGCAATTGGTTTTTGAAAAATATCATAAGTTTTTTTTAATAATTAATTGTATTTTTAATAGTGTATAGTAATTCATATTTTAACACGTGCAAGATTGTAATAGTAAACATTAAATTAAGAGTATGTAAATTATAAAATTTTAATTACAACACTTTAAATTATGAAGATTTAATTGATATAAAAGTTATGTAAAACTATAGAATCAAAAGAATTAGACCATTTCCCATTCGTTCGTCCACAAATTTTCATTCGCGAATTTTCGGGCCTAAACACTAAACAGACAAGATATTTTTATCCTCCTTCAAACTCTAATTCTTCTGCTTATGCTAAGCATTTTTTTTAAACCTTCTTTTGTGGTGTTACTACTAGTTGCATTTACATTAATCTGTACTGCTATCTCATTATAATGTGAAGGGATCTCAAAGAGGAGGAGACCCTAAACGTAAAGCATGCAATGAATGGAATAGTGAAGGAAGAATTAAACAAGAAACTGCTGCAGGAAATGCACAATAGTTTCGAATCCATTGATGACACCTCACCATATATAATTAATACACCGCAATAGATTCATCTGCACCACATTATATGTGCTTTGGGATGCGAGCTTCCACAGCACAATGGTTTGTTCCTCTAGAAACCTCCAAATCTTTTGGTCCACCATGTCAGATCTTGCACAACCTAGGACTACTCCACATTGGATAAGTCTACATTGTTCTGAACTGAGTAGCTTTGTCTTCACGAGGCAATGAAGACAGTGCAGGTTGGACAAATCCACCAGTCTCCTCATTTCTTGATGTAGATGACAATCTTTTCTCTGATAAGCTATTAACCAAGACAACAAACAAATAACACTATGAAAACTGACTCAGTAATCTGATTGGTCAGCCCCAATGAGAAAAAGGAAAACAATTACGTCTATGTAACTGAGTTAACTGAACCCCCGCCAATTTTGGTTAATTCATGTAATACAAGAATCAAGATAAAGCAATTTTGACTCACCTAATGCCATTGTTGGCCGAATTATAGTTCTGAGCCTCTTCATGCTCCTTCCCCAGAGGGCCAAAAATGGCATAAAGGCCTGCTATTGCTGGAGCAGCAATGGCAATGGAGAGGCAAATGGCAACACCAACATTAGGTCTTTCTGATCTTTTATAACCCAAGTTAAGGCCACATAAAGCATACTGAGCAAAGCAATTCACATGAAGTAACACCACCACGGCCATCATGTGGGCCCTTTCGTTAGGCTTGTAAGTTCCATTCTTGGAATATGCTTTTCTGAGGATAGAAATGTCTGTGGGTTTCCACCTACAAAGGAGAAATAGGTGGTGGAACCTCTTTGGGTGCTGGTATAGGCACATGAGAGTGAAAAGAGCGTTAAGGATTTGATTATTGACCTCAAACCACAAGTCTTTTTGGGACTTCTTGGTTAGGACTCTATCTAACATTCCTGTGATTACAAGAAACAGAATTCCTCCTGAGATTGCCACAAATTACCCATAACACGAGGATTATGTTCATAGGGTTGTTAATCCACTCTCTGCGGATTTTTCCGATCCCATTATATTCTGACACTGGAATGGTTTCTTCTACTTTTTCTTCAGCTAGCAGTGCCTTCCGGGATGATGAAATTTGCAGAGAAATGGCCTTGAAATCATCTGGGTTTGCTGGTTCTTGCAAGGATCCTACAATGGCAGATGAAGTCATTGTCCCAGCCGACGGAATTTGAGTCTCTGCTGTTCCAAAAATGGCTTCTGCGTACCCAAGGGGATAATATCACTAGAATGGTAAGTGACATTAGAATTTCAAAGTTTGTAAAATAGTGAACAAATACGAAGGCTTCTGGGTTTAATGATTTTGTTAGTAGCTTATGTTTCAATTTGATTCTTATATATTAAAAATTTGCAATTTAGTTCCATTAAGTTGAGAAACACTTGGAACAGCGCAATTAAGAGTTTGATGACGGACACAACAAGGCAACAGCAAAATTTTAAATTTTAGACAGAAAGCGAACGATCTGTCCAAAATTTAAATATGCACATTGTCATTCTTCGTCAATTTGGATGATCTGATACGAGTTATCTGCAACATTGAAAAAGATAATCTTACTGCTATTTTTTGGAGATTTACTTCCTCGAAAGAGGATGGTGCTTCTATGTTGTGGTGTCAAGGATACAGTTTAGAAAAAATTGTGGAATACTAGTATTTGTTTTACAGAGAAACCAGTTTCCGAAACTAACAACTTGGGAAAGAACTCTGATCAGTTTGGACCAATTCCTGGAAAGCTAAAATGACGGATTCAACATAAAGAGAAGGAAACTAAGAAGTAAATGGTGAAGATGGGAGGCTGTACCTTGGAGCTATGGTGGTTGCAGTGAGGAGGAAGAGGTGATGTTCATTGAATCTATGGCGTGGGGATGGGAGATTAGTGAGTTCAGTCTTCTCTTGGCTTTGTGCAGTATGGCATAGTATTGATGGTGTCTTTACTCTCCGCCAGTTGCAAAAGCGGGAATATCTTTGAACTTTTTCAAAACATGTTTGTTCCGTTGTAAGGTTTTCAGTTGAACCACCAGTAATTTATCTTCCTTTTGTCCTGTCAACTTTTTTATTTCATATTTTATATATATATATATAGATGGTGTGGCCTGTATCATGTATGACCCAGTTAAAATTTGTATCGATAGAATTTTAAAAAGGGAAAATGACAGATAAAGAAGGTGGAATATCTGAAATTTTAATTTGGGAAGCTAAGCAAATGTAATGACAATGAGGGAAGTACTTCCCAAATTGGAATTTTGAAATTCAGTGAAATGACAAAAATGCCCTTTGTCTTTTTTTTTTAAAAAAAAACACCCAACCTCTCACCGGTGGCCGGCCACCGGCAACCACCGCCGGCAATTGGCCACCGGCGGCCGGCGGCCGCCACCGGGCCCCGTCGCCGGCGGCCGGTGTGGTGGCTGCCGGTGGAAGTTTTTTGTAATAGTTTTTTTGTGTGTGGGAGAATATTACAAAAAGTGGTAGGGGTGGGATTTGATCCCACGACCCCTTGGCCATTTGGGCCAACAAAAGGACAGATGACCATTGGGCCATCAAAGACTTCTTAGTTTTATAATGCAAACAAAAATATAAGTTGACTCTTTTACTGTGACTCCAGCTCGTGACAATAATTTACCTCAGGATGACAAGTCTTAATTGAGAAATAACAAGTCTAAATTTGATATTAACAAAGCGACTTTTCCTGATACATAATAAGAAGTAACAGTATATTAATTAAAAATGACAGTTTATTTGAATATGACACGTCTTTACTAAAAATGACACGTCTAAACGTGAGATTAACAATATGCCTTTTTTTTATATATATAACAAGAAGTAGCATGTACATTAATTAAAAATGACCATAATTTATTTGAAAATGACACATCTTTACTGAAAAATGACAAGTCTAAACTTGAGATTAATAATGTGTCTTCTCCTGATACATAACAAGAAGTAGCATGTACATTAATTAAAAATGACCATAATTTATTTGAAAATGACATGTCTTGTTATGTATCAGGAGAAGACATATTGTTAATGCTACTTTTTGTTATGTATTAGGAGAAGACATATTGTTAATCTTAAATTTAGACTTGTCATTTTTCAGTATAAGACATATTGTTAATGTTACTTCTTGTAATGTATTAGGAGAAGACACATTGTTAATCTCAAGTTTAGACTTGTCTTGTTATGTATCAGGAGAAGACATATTATTAATGCTACTTCTTATTATGTATCAAGAGAAGACACATTGTTAATCTAAAATTTAGACTTGTCATTTTTCAGTAGAAGACATATTGTTAATGCTACTTCTTGTTATGTATCAGGAGAAGACACATTGTTAATCTTAAGTTTAAACTTGTCATTTTTCAGTAAAGATGTGTCATTTTCAAATAAATTATGGTCATTTTTAATTAATGTACATGCTACTTCTTGTTATATATATATAAAAAAGGCATATTGTTAATCTCACGTTTAGACGTGTCATTTTTAGTAAAGACGTGTCATATTCAAATAAACTGTCATTTTTAATTAATATACTGTTACTTCTTATTATGTATCAGGAAAAGTCGCTTTGTTAATATCAAATTTAGACTTGTTATTTCTCAATTAAGACTTGTCATCCTGAGGTAAATTATTGTCACGGGCTGGAGTCACAGTAAAAGAGTCAACTTATATTTTTGTTTGCATTATAAAGCTAAGAAGTCTTTGATGGCCCAATGGTCATCTGTCCTTTTGTTGGCCCAAATGGCCAAGGGGTCGTGGGATCAAATCCCACCCCTACCACTTTTTGTAATATTCTCCCACACAAAAAAAAAAACTATTACAAAAAACTTCCACCGGCAGCCACCACACCGGCCGCCGGCGACGGGGCCCGGTGGCGGCCGCCGGCGGTTGCCGGTGGCCGGCCACCGGTGAGAGGTTGGGTGTTTTTTTTTTTAAAAAAAAAAGACAAAGGGTATTTTTGTCATTTCACTGAATTTCAAAATTCTAATTTGGGAAGTACTTCCCTCATTGTCATTACATTTGCTTAGCTTCCCAAATTGGAATTTCAGATATTCCACCTTCTTTATCTGTCATTTTCCCTTTTAAAAAACCAATTCTATTATTCATAATTTATGAATTATGCGACTTTTTAAAACTTTCATTTTTTGTATATAGATATATAGAAATGATTTTTGGGAAATTTTATTTTGGAAAAATTGCCTAAAAATATTATAAACAAATATGGTGCTGAAAATATAAGAAATGAGTTATGATTATTATGGTTGGTTAGAGTTTTTATATTATAGAAAGATATAAATAATTTAATGAAAAAGTAACCAAAATTATTGACTATTTTATATGTCATGTTGATGTCCTTGCTCAACCAGGCTATCATTAAAATTTTGTGTATAAATATTTATCAAATCATCCTCAACAATAAAAATTTTAATGAAGGACTTTTCCCCCAAATTTTCCTAATTTTTATTAATATAAATGTATTTGGTTAAGATTTATTTTAAAATTGTTAAAAACAACAAAAAAGAGCAATGCAGATGCCTTATGGACAGCACAGGAAATTAATGTCCAGTACGCAGCAAAACGGCTAAAAGACCACTTCAACGCACCGGGTTTAAGCCTTAGCCCATATTAATCCCACTCACTTGCCAGGCAAAGGCCTGTTGGGCTAGTGGCAATACTGGATTCATTAATCCTTTACCCTATGTTGGTCCAAGGAAAATAAAGTTATAAATTTTTTTAAACGAGTTTGATTTAAAAAATCAAGTAAAAAATTAGTTTTGCATGATAAATCAAGATTCAAATCTCCATTAGGAAATGTGTTCACATTTAACAATGCCTTGAACAGGAGGATTATCTTTAATGGGCGGATACCTATACATAGTAAAAAAAATTAATAAAAAGAAGATATAAGATAAAAGAGTAATAAAAATTAATTCAAAAATTGTAATCCCACTTTTTCAATTTTCCAGATGGGTCTCATTAAAATATTTTCTCCCTACTCCTTCCCTCCATTTCCCTTATACTGAACCGATCCTTGGGATTCTAGAATTTATTTTTTAGAAAAATAATAAAAGGGAGAATTACAAATAAAGACCTCTTGAATATGTAAAATTATAATTTAGGACCCTAAATTTAAAAAATAGCAAATAAGGACCTGGTTTTACTTTTGCAAATATAAAATGTGAGTAAAATGTCTAAAATGTCCCTCAACCAAATAACAAGTTCACTTTAGCGAATGACATCTTCAGTAGACCAAATCATAATTTGGTTGAACGTATACCAAATAACGAGTTGACTATGGAAAATGACAAATTCACTTTAGCAAATAATAACTTCAGTAGACCAAATCATAATTTGACTGAGGGATATTTTAGACATTTTACCCACATTTTATATTTGCAAAAGTGGAACTGGGTTCTTATTTGTTATTTTTTAAATTTAAGATCACAAATCGTAATTTTACATATTCGAAGGTTTTTGTTTGCAATTTTCCCAAAATAAAACTCACCTTTGTTGTTCTGTTTTTTTAAAATCAAAATCAATTTCGAGTTCCAAACTGGCCCTCAGTCATTTATTGTTGAGGTTGGGATGTGATGTGTTGTGCTGGTTATGATACGCATTGTGTGTCTGGTCCTTCTTGTTATTATTTGTATTCGCTAATTGGTAATTTCTAATACATGCAACCTTTTCATTCTTTGTTTAGTATGTAGTCGGTCATTTTCTGATCACAGATCTAATCTCGTTTTCTTACCTATATTTTCCTGAATAAATACCTAGATATGGATTATGGATAAACCACTTTATGTAATCTAACCATAAAACGTTGTCGTCGGCTTGGCCAAAAATAATTTCACTTTAAAGCTATACGTCACTAAAAAATAGTCATCAAGTCAGGTGGCAAGGCTGGGTAGAGTGTAGGTAGAAGTCAAATAACTTGTAGA